TTTTTTTCAGGCCATGACTAATGGTAATGATCACCACAGTATGAAATAGACACACTTCCAAATGATAGAAAATTGGTTAGGAAAATTTTGATAGAAGTTCAAGAAAATGAGATTGGAGATATGAAATTTTGGAATAAGATGAATTTGATTGCATTCCTTATTAGAGGTTATTGACAATAATAGGGTTAATAGGATTCTGAAGGGACTTACAAAGGGGCACACAAAGGGAGATTGTTGGTATCAGTTTTGCTATGGAGCCATCGGATGACTCGGCTTATGGAGTCATTCACAGTTATTCACAAATCGTATATTAACACGTGTCCTATAATAAATACACGATGAACATGTGTCAATACACTAAGTAATTGAGGGCCCCATAAGAAAACCATCCATAAAATTTTTGTCGTTGGTATATATTACAAAGTATTTTCATCACATTTTTTGCAACATTGAGGTTGTGGGTATGTTACAAAGTATTGATCATGACATTTTTGTAACATTGAGATTGCTAGAATATAATTATCCACATTAATTTTATTTCTAATTTATGTGTTCACACCATTCACCTATAATTTACTTATAGGATATTATCTTGAATTTAAATTGATGAAATATACATCTAGTAAATCTTAACAAGGATTTTAAGGAACTTATATTTGGGTAGAGTTTGTTATTCGAACCGAGTGGTTCGAGAATAGTACTCGGTTCGACATGTTAACACGAGTTCAACTCGTTCGTTTATTTAAAAAAATTGAGCCCGAAAAACCAATTGAATTCATTTAGTAAATGATACGAATGTAACTTAATTCCGAACAACTTTTTTTTTTATATGGATTTAATATGCAACCGAACTAAACTTGGTTGCAAATGAACATTTCTTGTTCGTGAACAACTCATTTAAGATTTTAGGTTTATTAAGTGAGTGAAACCTAAACTGAACTTTTACGAACTTAAATGAATCAAGCTTGGTTGAGACCTTTGTTTGTTTATTAAATGGCCCAACTAATCTGTTAAATGATCCTGAGGTGAAACACGAATACTCGATTCGTTTCGTCTTGACTCTATCATCACTCTTTAATCTGGTAATGGTTTGCCATCCAAATTACCCATCATGAAATTGTCCTTTTTTTCCCTTTTATGTCCAACGGGTAGTTTGGACGGCATATAAAATATAGGCCTTGGAGCCTCTCCAAGCCAACTAGGGGTGTGCATAAGATTAAAGTCAAACAAATTAACAGAACCTAAAATTTTGGGTTCAATTTTTATTCGACTGTATTGGTTTTCAGTTTTCACTTTGTAATTTCCTAATTATTTTGGTCGGTGTCAGTTTGCGGACATAAATGTCTGTATAACTAATAATTGTATTGACTGAATAATATATATATATATATTATATTTATGTTATATTATATCACTGTTTTGAATAGGCCATTTTCGCACGCTATATAGTGTGCAATAGCACATTTTGCACTCGAAAACGTGCTATACCGTTAAAAAAATCGCATAGTTCCTCAAAAGCATACGCTTTTTATGACGTGGCACGCAATCGACGCGATAAGGGACGCTATTTACCATGGTTTTCAAAATCGGATCGGACCGGTCAGTTCTACCGAGAATCGGCCATAACACCGGTCCGGTTTAAGTATTCAACCACTGGGCCGAAAATTCGTTCATGAACCGCTCGAACTAGTCAAAAACTGGTGGCGGTTCATCCGGTTCAACGGTTTATAATTTTGGACTTTTTACTATTAATCTCTAAAAAAGAGACAATAGTAGGTTGGTGTGGTGGCTGAAATGGCTCCAATCCAAATCGGAGGTAATGTGTACTGTTCTCACACTCATCAGTATTTTAGCTATCTCTCCCACCATGTGTGTTTTTTAGTTTTCTTAAGTTATGATATTTTTAAATTTAGTTATTTCCTTTGTATATTTTTTAGTTTTCTCCTCTCTATGGATCTTTATGTTTTGATATTTTTAAATTTAATCAAAACCAAGGTTGAAAATTGATTCCTAATTTTTTTTTTATAGATTTTTAAGTTTTGATATTTTTAAATTTTAATCAAACCAAGGCTCAAATTTGTTTTTTAATTTTTTTTTTCTTTACATAATGAAAATTGAAAAGAAAAATAAAATAAAATCCAAATTATAAATATATGGTAAACTACAATTAGGATATTGATTATTGAATTTTTATTTTAGGAAATGTCATTATACATTAAAAAATAATGACACAAATATATAAAATTATATATTATACATATAAAATAAATAAAGAAATTATATATTAATTAAACCGATTCGACCATTGGTCAGAGTCTGACCAATGAACTATTGAACCAGTAGTTTAACCGATTCGTTGAGCGGTTCAATTTTCAGAACATTG